CAAATGAGCATTATGAGTACATGGTCATGGCTGCATCAAGAGCTCATGGTGAATTTTTTAATAAGGAGAAAGATGCAGCCTCTGGTGCAGAAGGTCCAAAGCTCTGTGAAAACATGCTCGCAGTCTTTGCTCTCCTGTAGGCATTGGCCACCTGGGTGCTGAGGTGTGCATCTCTGGCCTGGACCATTTTAGGAATGGAAATCTGCACAGGTGGTGCTGCTGTGTCTGAACTGGGAAGACTGTGTCTGGTGGATGGGAGTCATGAACTTTTGTTCTCTCTTCATGCCTCTCTTGCATGTGGATATTATGTGGCAAAATGTTTGTGTGCCTAGATGATGCACCTGAGAGAGTTGCCATGCTAAGGCTGTGCTCGCTCCTTTGCCTACTGGCACTGTAGTTCACCTCTAGTATATTACCTTGGGTACTATGGGAAACATCATTCAGAGGAGGAATTGGCATAAACTGCTCTCTGAAGAGGTAAGAAGAGAGAAGGAGCTGCAGCAGGTCAGGCAGCTATTCTAAAACTGTCTGTGCTATAGCACAGCCTTAGGAGATCTAGGGCAAGCAGGTGAAACCTTCAGAGGCTTTTCCTCCATTACCGAATTTTAAAAAGTTTTATAAGTCTCTCTCTCTTTTTTTTTTTTTTTTTTTTTTTTTTTTTCTTTCTTCCTTTATTTTTTGGTCATGTTCTTTCTTTTATTATTAGAAAAAAAGTTTTTCTACATATTACAACTGTAACAGTGTTTAGGCTGTGTTGATCATGATGCTTAAAAATTATGTTGTATGCATATATCTGAATGCAGATCCTATATGCATAGAATTTCCTTGGGATGAGTATTATTTTAGAATTTAACACATCTCTCGAATCTGTTTTTTTACCCTAGAACTACTTAATTTTTCATAGCTGGACTTCTTTCTATTCTTCATTTTTTAAAGAAAAAAATGTTTTTTTTTTTTTTTTTTTTATTCCTTGTAAGATCCGAAGTGGTAAATAAAACTAGCATAATCTTCTACGAAGGCAATTCAATTTGCTGGTACAGTTACAGGGTCAATAGGCTAAATGTGCATTAGCAGCATGATGATGGGGAACAAGCCAGGCAGCACAGTAGGATTTGCAGATCAGTGACAATAACGCTCCTTCTCCATCCGTCATGTAGCTGCTCACTTGCAGCATAGGTGGACTCTTTGGATCAGCAAGGTTAGGGATGTCTGTAACTCTCTGTAGGACTGGTGCCACAAGCACCCTGGCTTGACGTGTGATCCTGCAGCACAGAAAGGGTTTTTGGCTGCCTGGCTCTCTCCTTCCACTTTCCTCTCAGGCTGTTTAACCTGCAGTGCCACCTGCCCCACATGGAAGAGCCAATGTCTTCTTTAAATGTTTTTCCATTTAAAAATAATAGGAAAAGCATTTCTTGTGATGGACCAGAGTCCACAAGTTTTGTTCACGTGGCTTCTATCTTATCTTGCTGGCAATCCCATTATGGGCGTTACTGGTGGAATAAAATATTATTATTTGTGTAAAGAAAGCAAAAACCAAACCAAAACAAACAAACAAACAAACAAAAACAAACAAAAAAAGCAGGATTTGGTTGTAAATAAAATGTCTAGCAATTCTATGCTTCAGTGACAGAAACTGGCTTGTATGAAGCACAAGAACAATGTCTTGCATAGATTTGCTGATGGACTGACGAGGGCAGAAAATTCAGATATTGAAGGTTGATGACAAGTAGTATAGAGAAAAAGGCTTCCTGTGGTCCGACAGAAAGACCAAAAGATGTTTTTCCCCTTTCCTTTGCCCTTTTTGGTTTTCCATCCTACTTGCTGGCCAGTATGACTTTCAGTATAAGTGAGGATGTTAATGTATGCTGCCGTGTGTAGTTCCTTCTGATGTGAAGAGATGTTTTAAAGCATCACAGAGGAGACATTTAGCCAGAGTGCCTCAGCTGCTATCTGCATTCAGTTGGAGGTGGCACCATGACCTGGATTGGCCACCATGGGTGGTGGCCCCATGGGATGTGGGTACCAAGGACTTTCTTGAGTAGGGGTCAGCTGGTGCTTCAAGGGGGTAAGGCAGAGTCACGTGTCCCCGGGCATTGCTTGATTTCGGATATGGGTCAGATGGATTGGCCGGCCCTAGCTTCTGAGCTTGGCCTAATGAGGGAACCCAGATGCCCATCAAAGGAATTTTTCCTCCCCTTGAAATGTTGGTCCAGCCACTGCTGAGCCCACTGCCTTGCCAGGGACCTCGACTTTGGGAGCTTAGAGCTGGCCCCCGCTCTTCTGAAAGGCTTGTGTTTAGGAAAAAAAATAAATGTTTCCTGCTGTACTTGACATTTTCTAATTATCTATGCATATTTAATCCCTCTCTGTGTCCTGCTGAGCTTCTGAGAAAGCAATTTAAGGGCTTTGTTCCAGCAAAAATCAAAAGTTAGCAGGCATTAGTAGTGCTTACACCAGGACACATGTTACTTTTGCTTATTAGGAAAGGCAAATTGGCATTCCTCTGCTGGCTTTAGTTGTGCCCGAGGTTCTTACTCCTGTTTGGATGTTTCAATGACAGCCAGGCTTTTTTTTCAAGGGTCTGCCTTGCAGCAGCCACGTGCTTCTCTCTTGTGCAAGGTGGTGACTCCTGCTGATGGTCAAAAGTGCTTGGGTTGTCTTGTGCTTTGGGTCCTTCATGGCCACGGCCTGCAACCTCAATGCAAAGCCAACAGTGATCACCCACTGCACTCAGCAGTGTGAGAGCAGCAGCTTTGCCCCAGAAAAATTTAGCAACCTTTAGTTCTTTAAATTGGTATTTTGAATCTTTTTCTCATGGGGACTCTAGACCTACTTACCTTCTCTGCCGCTGGCCGGATTGCTTTCCCTGACCCATATGGCACATAGCCCTGATCTCCTGGTGCTGTTTAGATAATTATACTCATTAACAGACCTAAAGGGGGTGACGGATTAATTTTGATGGAATAACTAGGCTCAGTCAAATGAGTTAACGTGGCCCATTCATGGCACAACACGAAGGAATTTATTAAGGGTCAGTGTTGTAGCAGACACCCTAGCAAATTTGCTCAGCATGGCAAACTTCCATCACTCTTGGGAAACCTCCTGGGACAGCAAAGATGCATCTTCCCCTTTCTCCTTCTCTGCTGAGAGAAATGAAATTCAGGGAGATTTTATCTTGGTGAGTGCCAGTGAGCTCCAAGTTGCTGTTTTGCTGCTTTCCAGATCACTCTGAGGCTCAGGCTGGAAGTGGCTCCTGGTTCTCCAGCAAAGAGCTGCCACTTCAGGCCCCTGGGGACCTTCCCGAGCCCAGCTGCAAATCCCCCCAATACCTAATGAGTTCATCTGCATGCAAGGCAGATCTCAGCCCCCTGGGATCGCAGACCCGTGCTACCTTCTCCTTTCCTTCCTTTGCTTGTTTTAGGTGTGTGCCAGGACAGTGACCAGTTGCAGGCTGCCATAGCTCTGGTCCCAGGCTTTAGCACAAACCTGGCTGGATCCACCCAGAGATGTAACACACCCTGCCAGGCTGGGTGAACAAACCCCTCTCTAGGACACAAAGCAGGCAATTTTTTAGCAACATGCTACATAAAAATATTTTGCAGTTGCAACAATAGGAGATGGAAAAAGCCTTGAGATAATTACAAACTGCAATTTCTGACCCAGATCAGAGAGAAACCTCAAATAGACCTTAATGCAAAAGGATTTTCTATAAAGCCTAAAAGATTTGTTTTGATGCTAGGGTGCTCTTCAAAATAACCTATGGAAAAGAGACTGATTGCTTATAAGTCTCCATTGTTTTCTAGACCATCTTCTGTAGACTTATTGTTCACTTCAAACTAACGTTTCCAGGAGTCTTCTGTAACGATAGCTGCTCACAGGCTGGAAATCTTGAATCACAGGCTGTATTATTTGTCAGATGCAGACAAAGGAGAAAAAATACAGCGGAAGTCAAATTTAATTTAGCAACCACGTGTCTTGTCATACCTAACCCATGCTGTAGAACAATGAGCTTTAGGCTGGATGACTGCTAAATGCACTCGTGGCCATATTGTGTTGTTTAAAAATGACAGAAGCCATTGTTCTCCACCCATCCTTCATATAATAGCATTTTTCCCAGGAAATGAGGGAGACACAGCATCTGCTTCACCCATTAAGCTAACCCTGCTGTTTACAGGTAGGATGAGGGTGAGCTGGGGACTCAGGAGCCAGTGCCAGTGGGATTTAATTCCCTGATAACACATTTTACATGGTCCCTTGAATCTTCCTACCTCTGCAAGAGGGAAGGAGAGAAGAAGTACCCTGTGTGGGGCTTGTGGGGGTCTGCAGGGCTGGTGGCAGTGGCACATTGCTGCAGCCAGGGTGAGCGCCCAGACCAGGGTTCAGCATGGGATGCAGACCAGTGGGGAAGCAGCGAAAGGCGAGACCCCAGACTGCGAATGCCTGATGTGCTGCTCATACGTCTGAGGGATGATGCAGAAATTTCTGTTGAAAAAAAATAATAGTTTACAGTTCCTAGTTCATAAGCCTGTATTTTTTTTTTACGATTAACCCTATGAAAAAAGCCATAATTTTCCAGCTGTCAGAAGAGACTTTGCTCCAGGAAGTCAATATTTCTTATCAGAGGCCATTGCCTGACTGGCAGTAGGCAGGGACCTGCTGATACTGCATGTTTACATTACGTCTGACTTTCAAAGTTTACAGCTACCTTTTAAAATCAACATAAATATGCAAGCATTTGCATAGCCCACACATCTATGGACAGCATGCTTCTTCATCTGCAGACTGAAAAGGAGGATGGATACTTGCTAGGATACTTGCCAGGATGCGTGCTGGGGACTGCTCTGCCAGTCACCCACCCCAGGAGCTTTTTTTTTTTTTTTTTTTGCAGATGTGTTACCAGTGACCAAACCCAGAAGAGACGTGAGAGGTAGCTGCAGTCAAGCCATCATCAGTCTGATTCTGCTGAGATTAGGCAAAGTGAGCGTGGTGTGTTATGGTTGCTTGCTCTTGAGTATTTCTGAAGATGTTTTAATGGGCTTCCACTAAAGGAAGGGCTTATCTGAAGGGCTTCTGTTTGTGTATGTCCTGGAAGTCCTGCTACAGAGCAATGGCAAACCCTTGAACAGCGTCATGAGAAGCGCTGACAGGAGCAGACCCCTTCTGCAGTTCTGTTGGCATTCTCAGAACATCATTATATATACATATAATATATATATACATATATACACACATGCATATGTATATATACATATATACAAACATATATATGCATTTCCTTCTATCTACAATCTCACACAATTTTACATGTGCATTTAGTTAAAACAACATTTGATTTAATCTCAAGTAAGCTACATATACATAAAAAAAAAAAGCAACAACAGATTTGAGGAGTATTCAATTTAAAGACAACATTTTCAATACAAGTGGCAGAAGAGACGTGAAATTTGTTTGCATTTTCAAAAATGATTAGTGAATCATTACAGAAATAGATTTCACTATGGGAGGAGTATCAGGATCCAGGACTCCAGTTCCGCTCATTTCATGCTTTTGTGGATACCTTTCAAAATTAATGGGACTATTCTTACAGGTAAGGTGAGCTGGACTTGGTCTCAGGCACACCTATCTGGACTTTAAAATATATTTACGCCTGTAATGCAAAACCTGTTCATTGCATGGAAAGGGGATAAGCTGTGTCTGGATTTGAGCAATTTGAGGGCACTAGAGTGGCTTGGGGGAGTCCAGGCAGAACTGTCCTCCTCAGAAGGCAGAGATCAAGTTTCCCTGAAATCTGCATCTCTGAGGCTTGTCAGCTCATTTTTGTGTGTGTTTTTGGATGTAATGCCAGATCAAATTCATTGTTAGGGAGTTGCGGGGGGGGGGGGGAGGAGGAAGGGAAGAGGAAGGGAAAGCTTTTCCCCCCAGTGAGAATTCGTGGTGTTCTGAAACAGGAGCTGGTGGGGTCAGGGACTGTGGAGCTCAGGCATCAGCCTCCTCAACAGGTTAATTTATGGAGGTATGTAATCCTTTTTGGCACTGTGGCCTTTTTTGCTTTACTTCCATTGTTTTTGTTTCTCTTAGGATTTGTACTAGGTTTGTAACCAGTTACGCAGCACATTGATGTGTTACAAGGATGACCAAATTAGTGTTGTTGTTGATGGGACCTCTTTCACCTAAAAGCATAGGGGCGTACACACTACCCCCTTTTCCCCTCAGCATGTCCTACTGAGTCACCTGAATTCTGCAAAAGGGGAAAAATCCCAGCAATCTGACCCACTGCTTTTTGTTTTGTTCTGTTTTGTTTGTTGGTTTCCCAAACAGCTGGCCCAATGTCAAATAAACAGCTCATGGCCTTTCCAGCTGCAAGAACGGGAGCAGTCTCTGGGTTGGTGCAAGAGCCCCACAGGATGCGAAGAAGATGAAGATAGGAGGAGCCTGGTTAGGTCTGCTAATGGGACAGGGCTTGCTGGCTTCAACACCCAGACATTTTTCCAACGAATGGATAAATATGGTATTTAAAAAACAAACAAACAACTGTTACTGTTATTCTCTCTCATCTGGCATGAGCACATATCTACCTCTTCTCCACTGTCTAGCTTGTGAGACAGGTCTGAAGCGTTGGTCAGGGTGGCCTGGTGTCGGTGAGCCCTCTTGTGTGGGTTTGTGAGGGTATACGGGCTTGGGGGGAGGTTCAGAGAAGCACGAGTGTGAATTTGATTGCCAGCAGAATGCCTTGTAGGAATGATCCTCAGAGAAAAAGTATGTGAGTGAGTGCCCTGAAGAAGGTAGCTTTTAATTAGAGATGACCTGGCTTTAAATCCCTATGCAGGGGGTTTTGTATACAACTCTGAAAGGAACTGGATATTTTTTAATATGCCATTCCTTCTTCTTTCTTTCAGATGGATTTCAGAAAACTCAAGATTCTTTTTTTCCTTGGAGGGGTTAGCTGTGTCAGCTTCTGTTTTACGTACATGAATTTGAACAAACACTGTATATTCTGTGAAAAAAAGCAGAATCACTTACTACCTAAAAAGACTTCTGGGAGATTCCAAGGAAACTTCTTGCAGCTCCCAGATATAGATTGCCATAAGAACCCACCTTTTCTCGTCCTCCTTGTGACATCTTCATACCAGAACATCAATGCCAGGATGGCCATCCGGCAAACCTGGGGGAAGGAGAGAATGGTGGCCAGCAAACGCCTTGTGACATATTTCCTCCTGGGAACCACTGTGAATCTCACACAGCAGGCTGACATCATTGCTGAAAGCCAAAAATACAGAGACATTATTCAAAAGGACTTTATAGACACATACTACAACCTGACTTTGAAGACCATGATGGGAGTTGAGTGGATTCACAAGTTTTGTAACCAGTCCAGCTTTGTGATGAAAACCGACACAGATGTGTTTGTCAATGTTTTTTACCTCACTGAGCTGCTTCTAAGGAAAAATAGGACCACAGGGTTCTTCACAGGCTTTTTAAAACTGCACGATAACCCCATAAGGAATAAAAAGAGTAAGTGGTACGTGAGCACAGAAGAATATCCAGGAAACACCTACCCACCGTTTTGTTCAGGAACTGGCTATGTTTTATCCACTGATGTTGCCAGTCAGATCTATAATGTTTCAGAGAGCACTTTGTTCATCAAACTGGAGGATGTATTCATAGGACTGTGCCTTGCCAAATTAAACATTCATCTGGAAGAGCTTCATTCAGAGCAGACATTTTTTCCAGACAAGATTACATTCTCTGTTTCTCGCTTTAAGAAAATTGTGATGTGCCATAAAGTAAAACCATCTGAACAGCTGAGCTATTGGAATCAATTAGTGACAGAAGAACAAGAACACGGAGGAGTGCTCTAGCACATTCCCTGATTGAATTAACAAGCTGAAATGCTCCGAACTTACAGGGCTGCTCTTGACTCCAGCAAAACTCCCAGTTAATTCTAGACCCATCATGTTAAAGACAATTTTCAAGATTATTTTAAACTCCATTTCTGCCTCAGAACACTGTAACCTCTTTCTCTTCTATTCACTCCCATATCTTTCCATCCCTTCTCTACGTAAGCAATTATTTTTTTATTTTTATTTTTCTAAGAGATGCAGGCACACAAAACTATCCTCTCCACGGATCAACTCTCCAAATCTTGCTGCTACAGGACTGGGAACAAATCTATGGTGAAAAACAAAACAAAACAAAACAAAAACCTCAAAAAAAAAAAAAATAATCAAGGTTCCTTCATTCAGAGAAAAAAAATTGCACCACCTTCTCTGTCTCCCTTGATAGATCACTGCATTTGCACTCATCTGTGCAGGCATTTAAGAAAATGTGATTGCTGCTGTCAGGGCATTCCCCTCCTGGCATAAAGAACCACAGCTATGCAGTTGTGCCTTTGCAGTGTGAGCTCTGCAAAGGCAAAACTGCATAGTGGCATGGATACTTCTTCAGTCTACACATATATATTTATTTTTTTTCAGAGATGGAAGAATTTTCCCATGCAGCACTCCTGGAATAACTCTAGGTATTGCAGACCACCTTGTGAACATGTAAGACTACACATGAAATGGGTGACATGAAATGTGCATTTGTTTCCCTGTATATGCCACCCATTTGAAATGATCATATGGTAGAGATGGATCTATATCACAGAATCACAGACTGGTTGAGGTTGAAAAGGTCCTTTGAAGGTCATCTGCTCAAACAGGGCCACCTAGTGCCAGTTGCCTAGGACCACTTGGGTTTTGAGTAAATCCAAGGAGGAGCCCCCACAGCTCTTTGGGCAGCCTGTGCCAGGGCTCCTCACCTGCACAGCACAGAATTGCTGCCTGCTGCTCAGAGGGAGCCTCCTGGGCTCCCCTTTGTGCCCGCTACCTCTTGTCCTGGTGCTGGGTACCACTGAAAAGGGCCTGGCTCTGTCCTCTTTGCACCCTCCCTTCAGGTATTTATGGACATTGATGAGATCCCCCTGAGCCTTCCCTTCTCCAGGCTGAACAGCCCCAGCTCTCTCAGCCTCTCCTCAGAGGAAAGGTGCTCCTGCCCCTTCACCATCTTGGTGACCCTTCACTGGACTCTCCCAGGTGTCCAGGAGGAGTGTTTGTGCAGACTGTCCAGGTCTCTCTACTGCAATAGACCCAGGAGACGCCGTTTACATTTATGCCTCACTTTGATTGATTGAAAGCTGGTTCATCAAGGCTAAACCAGATTCCTTAAAGTGAACTAAATAATACATCTGAGTTAGATGTTTTCCCTGTGAGGAACTGGGTGTGTATGGTGGAAAAGACAGCAGGATTTTTCTTTTATAAACAAGACCTAGTAGGAAAATATGGCCAAGTAAACATTCAGGCTAGGAAGCTCATTTCTTATTTTATTACCAGCTAAAGACTCAGGAAATCACTAGGATGTCTGTAAGTTTCATAGATAAGGAATTGAGTCCTTACAGCAGATGCAGCGGAAAACACATTTGGGCAGGGAGGCAGGAGTTCATAAATTCATGAGTTATTCAGTACTCCTATTTCATTTGATCCACACAAAGAAAAGGTCAGTTTTACCAGCAAAGAAAGATCGAATGCCTGGGGAGTGCATGAAATATATTTTCCAGAGAGCAGCAAGAGTGGGGCTGCTCCCTAGGAGAAGCGAGCTGGGATCTGAGCAGATCCCTGCAATGGCTGGCAGGGTCCAGCCCTACACAGCCATGTGAGGAAGCAGAACCGCCAGGCCCAACCAAGAGTCCAGATCATAATGGTTGTGAGTTTGGTTGTGAGATCAATGGTGGGCCATAGCAATGACAGGTGGGGTCAGAATTAGGACTGGTGAGGGGAAGCAGGGTCAGACACGGCCCTGGGATGGCAAAGAAGAACCCTCCCTACAGAGCGGTGAGGCTGTGCTCCACAAAACACCCCATGGTCCCAATCCCCACGTTACCCTGGCCCAGCCGGGCAGTGCTGGGCTCTCCTTCCAGCCCAAGCCTTGTAGTTTCCTCACAGTGAAAGCCAGGAGAGATGGGAAGTGCACTCCTGGCTTTGGTGGCTGCTCCTGGCCACATTTGGCCTTCTTGGGAGCAACGTGGTGGGCAGGTGAACACCACCCACGCTTCCAGTCAGGGCAAGGATTGTGCAAGCAAAGGTAGGTGTCTAACTCTGTATTTAGGATGAGTGAAGAAGCAAGAACTGAGAGCCTTGCTGAGTTTCTTTTGAGGGGCTCACAAGGGAAGATCCAGAGATGAAGAGAGCAAGGAGTGGCGTAGGTATTCTGGTCTTTCAAGGTTTTCTATGACACTCTTTCAAATACATAAATTCTAATATAGAATACTTTTATTACTTTAGTTTTATTTATCTGTATTTTTTCTGTTCTTTTTATTCATGTTAGTGACCATTGTCCAAGTGTCCTTTTTCACTTGCTTGTGCTTGAAGAGGAGGATAAAAATTTTCAGCAGAAATATGTCCCATCCTGAAAAGTATTTAATAAGAGAATTATATTTATATAGAGAATATAAGGTAGAGAATAGAATATACATTATATTATTCATTTTCTTCTGATGTAAAGTTACCTGAGTCCACAGATTATGATGAAAAAATACAGGACTTTTTTTTTTTTGTGTAGAAGAATAATCTCTATTTTAAGTTTCCCATTCAGAAAATAGCCACGCATATGGTGTTTACAGGGACATGGCTAACCAGGTGGTTGGGTGGGTGGCAAAGGAGGTGTTTGAATTCCCCTAGCACATACTCTGAGCCGGCGAGTGGGGAGCCCAGCTCCAGGCTGAATGGCATCTCCCTGCCTCCCATACCAAATTTGCAGGTGTATTTGGCTTTGGACTCAAAGCTCTGCTGTAGCACATCTACTTGTGCTGCTGCCTTCAGTATGTGCAAAGGGTCAGACTGGGCAAGCCTAGCAACAGCATTTAAATTGCTATTCTTTCCATGTAAACAGCAGAAAAGTCTTTTTGCCATTTATTGTCATTGTACCCAAGGTGCAAGCTGGCAATTGTACTGCTTGAAATACTGCATTCAGCTCAGAGGTCCCCAGCACAAGGACATGGGCCTGTTGGAGTGGGTCCAGTGGAGGGCCACAGGGATGATCAGAGGCCTGGAGCACCTCTCCTGTGAAGACAGGCTGAGGGGGTTGGGGTTGTTCAGCCTGGAGAAGAGGAGGCCTTACAGCAGCCTTCCAGTACCTAAAGGGGGCCTGCAGGACAGCTTGGGAGGGACTCTGTCAGGGAGTGCAGTGACAGGATGAGACAATGGCTTTAAACTAAAAGCGGGGAGATTTAGATTAGATATAAGGGGGAAATTCTTCGCTATGAGGGTCCTGAGGCACTGGCACAGGCTGCCCAGAGAAGCTGTGGATGCCCCATCCCTGGAGGTGTTCAAGGCCAGGGTAGACGGGGCTTTGGGCAACCTGGTCTGGTGGGAGGTGTCCCTGCCCATGGCAGGGGGGTGGAACTGGGTGATCTTTAAGGTCCTTTCCAACGCAAACCTGTGATTCTGTGACTCTATTATTTTAACTTATGGAAAAATACTGATCATAAAGGAAAGTTTTCTGGCCTCTCCTAGCTCCCACTCCTGTGGGGCAGGAGGGGCTGTAAGCTGGGACAGCACAGTGAAGCCTGGTGCTCACACTGGCTTCTTCTGGTACTCAGAGAAATAATCCTTCAGTCCCTTGTGGGTCTCTCCTTCCCTTACACACCACGACATGTGCTTCACTTCCACCTCTGTGCCTGGCACCAGCCTTACCCCAGAAGGCAGGACCAGTCCGATCAATGTGTGTGGGCAGAACAGCCCTTTGTTTACATACAGATGAGTTTACTTTTTCACCTCCACTAGGTGTTGAGATCCAAGAGGTATAGTGGCACCTGGCTCCTGGGACAGTGCCGCTGCTGGTCTTGTCTCACTGAGTTGGTGGCCACGGGTAAAGTCTCCTTTCTGGAGACATATTGTGTTGTTTACTGAAGGATGACTGTTCTTGAACAGCATTAAAATATGGCTTACCCTAGCTGTTTGTGGCCTTGTACCATCACGGAAATGTTACCCTTGACAGATAGGTTCAGCTAGCCTTATAGACTACGGGTTTAATTTTAGTTAAGAGTGTTCCTGCTTAGCTGAATATAGCTACTATCAGGGAAGATGATTCTGGTCTATGTTAATCACGTTTGTAGATGCTAACCCTATATTTTTGAGCTAAATTCATAGCTACTGTACTAATAAGGTACTGTACTGTAGCTAATAAGGTCCTCAGGCCTGTTTTAAGAAACTATCACATTCTGGATGCTGCTTCCTAGGAGCATACTTGAAATTTCTAGCAACCTGTGCAAGATGCCTACTTATTGCTGTATTTGAAATATTTTGTCCCCACTGAATATATGCAGTTAAGCATTTAATGTCCTGCCTCACTGAAACATTTGGCCTACCAATACTAAATCTCCAATAAGAAGCAAATGAGTACAGGCTGAAATGTTACAAATTCAGGTAGTTTGTTCCTCTCCTTTTTAGAAATTAGCTTCCCAAGTGAATGCTTTAGGTTGCTGCACATTATTTTCCTCAGCCTATGATTTTCTGTATGCTCACATAAATTAGAAAGTGATTTTGTAAAGCTCAGTAGTGATTCCATAAATCTCATAAAGTTCAATAGGCTACTTTAAATCAGAACATAGTAAATGAATAATTATTCAAAATATAAGATACTGCTGTAAAAGGTGATTTAAGAGAATTAGCTGATTGCATGTAAGGCAAATTTATTTACTGAAACAAAGCCACAAAGATAGTCAGTTTTTATGTATCAGCTAAATAAAATGAGTTTTTGCTGCTTCAGCCACATATCATAACTTTTAACACAATCAAAACTGTTCAGTGGCCTTTTGCCAAAATATATGTATTTTCCTATGATAGATGACCAGAAAAAGGATGGAAATGTAACTAGGATGGTAAACAAAATACTGCAGTGTACACACACTTATCTTTCTATTTTTTTATAGGCTAATAGAAGAACGTAGACAAATTCTTGGAAGCTTATGTGCATTATCCTAACATTTTTATGCTGCTTGGGTCAGTAGATCATTAAATCATATTTTTTTTTTATGAATAGCTTTGGAAAGTTTATCTGAAAAGTTACTTCTCATTTAGTAATAAGGCATGTAGAAATCAACAGAGTTTATAGCGTCTTACAGCTGGTTAAGTGCACTTCAGCATAATGTATTTCTCCCAGTGCAAGATTGGCTTTTGAATACAGAAAAATGAATATACTTTTCACAATCATAACCCATCAACTAACCTGTTCTTAATTTAGGTTAGGATTTTCAAAAATGTCCATGAAGGATTTGGTCACATACCTTGCCTGATTCAGCATTACTGAAGAGGTATCACCCTTCCAAGATATTTTG